GATCATGCAGGGAGAGCCTGGGTATTGCCAGTGAATGTGGAGAGGAGGTCAAGGTTAAGTACTAGAGAATATCATAGGGAGGGTGAGCTGCAACCACAACATACAATTTTAATTTATTCCCTATTATTCTAATTCCCTACTTGCACTCACATCACTACCCTTCATATCCTTTTCTATTTGTGTGGCCTTACATGAGTATGTGTAAAATGTGTACCATTGCTTCATGAGTCTTTGTTTTTAACTTATATAAATGTCTACTTGTATCTTTTCACTCAGAACTTTTTATGATTCATGGACATATATCAAGTTCATTGCTTCTGCTACATAATAATCCTGATGTACATCCATCACTTCTTACCATTCCATGATGATGGCCACCCATAGTGCCTCCAACTGTGACACCATAAATATTGTTGCAGTGAACAGCCTCACATATGTCCCCCTTATATGCTTGGTTAAGACTCTGATGGGGTCAGGGGACATATATGCCCAGGAATGAAATGATGGGTTACAGGATATGATCTGGTTTGACAAGGTACTTTCAGATTTATTTGCAGAATGGCTACAGAAATCTACACTCCCTCCAGCAGTACATGAGTTTCTATATCCTACCTCTCCTCCACTGGTAGCAATAATTATTAATTAATTATTAATTTCTTCCAGTCTAATATAAAACCAGTAGTATCTTACTACTGTTCTAATTTGCCACTCTTCATTTTTCTTCACTGTTTCCACTTCTTCCTTTACAAAAAGTCTATCCTTATCTTTGTCCAGTCTTCTTTTGGTAGTCTTGCCATTTTTTCTTGTTGATTTTATTCTACACTGTAACACTGTGTATTCTACATTAGTCCCTTGTTGATTAGATGTTACAAATATTCTTTTAGTATGTCCACTGCATCCTTCATTGGTTATATGATATAGAGTTCAAGGTCCCCATTTCTGTCTTCCCCGAGATCCCTGACAGACAATCAGGTTATTGAGTCACTGCCTCAGCCTCATGGAACTAAATGAGCCACTCTAACCAGTTAAGATGTTAACTGCCAACATTTTACCAGACTTTTTGTGGTTTACCAGGTCCACTGTGTGGCAAAGCTCCTCAAAAGAAATCCACACCATTCTCTCAGTCACCAAAAGGCCTTCAGCAGGCCAGGAGTTGATAGGGCCTTCAAACATCACCAACTGACACAATGATATTCTCCCAAAATGCCTGCTTCACCCACTATGCTTAGAACTAAGTGAGGGTTCCAACACTATTTTCCAAACATACACCTGTCCTATTACCAAGAAATGACAGACTGAATCACAGATAATAAAAGGAAAATGAGAAGCAACCCTTAATATTCTTCTCTTTCAAAATATGCAGTTGCCCAGTGTAGGGAGGTTCTGGTCTTCTATTCTCCTAACCACCTCTGGCTTAAAAGCTATGTACATAGATGATTTTTTCTTTTCTTTTTTTTTTAACATCTTTATTTTATTTTTACGTGGTGCTGAGGATCGAACCCAGCACCCCGCGCATGAGAGCCGAGCGCGCTACCGCTTGAGCCACATCCCCAGCCCCATAGATGATTTTTTCATAGTCCACCTCTTCAAGCAAAGAACAGAGTTACCACAATGAGGACAGCAATGAACCTGTGACAGAATTAGCACCCATTTTTCCTTTATTTCAGATTAGGTTCTGTGTGGCCTGGAAACACCTTGAGCACCCAGTTCAAGTTCACACCAACACAGCTGGGGCTCCAGAGGCTCACCGTGGAAATGGATTGCAACATGTTCCAGAACCTAATCAGCCACAGAAGCATCACTGTGGTAGCCCCAGAACTTTCAGCTTAAACTTCCCAGCTCTAATCACCATTTTCCTCATAAACTCTTGAAACTACACTATAAAACTAAACATGTGCTGCGGAGGGAAACTCTGTCAACCAATGACTCTCCATTCAGGTTGCAGAAGAGTGACCAAGAACAAAGTTAGATTCCGAGAAACCAAAAGACCTGTCACCTGGCTTAAAGCAGCCATGATGGCTAGATGTTTTAGAACAGAACCATTAGGTTAGAGTGAAAAAAGGACGCCTTTGGAAAGGTACTCAGATCTAACTTTTCAAAGTATGAAAAGTATATCTATATATTTGCCTTTTCAGAGTATATTCAGATTTTCTAATTTGGGGCTTTTCACAACTTTTACTGAATAATAAGACATTCACTAACTTAGAGGCAAGGGAAAGGACCTAATGTGCAAATCATTATTCCATTTCTGATGAAGTAGTATAATATTAGCTAAGACTGAAATTTTTAGATAATCTTAAAATTATATTGATTAGTGCTATCATTACCCTTAAAGATCCAAAGATGACTGAACAAATGTATAAAATATATAACACAGGCCACATGTGGTGGTGCACACCCATAATCCCAGTGACTTGATAGGCTGAGGCAATGGATCCTAAATTCAAGGCTGGCGCTGGCCACTTGGCAAGACCCTATCTCCAAAAAAAAAAAAAAAAAGAACTGGGGATTAGCTCAGCTCAGTGGTAAAGTGCCCCTGGGTTCAATCCTCAGTACCAATTTTTAAAAAAATTTAATACATATACACACATCTAAATGCATAAAAATATATATACTCACACACCGTACATACATACACATCTAAAAATGTGTATATATGTGTATGTACACACATGCATGTGTGTATATATACATATTTATATATTTGTAGATAAGTGTTTATATATATGTATATACACCCTATATACATATTTACAACACAGAACCTAAGAGCATAATGACCTACATTTAGCTATAGATAAATATTTATTAGAATTCTATATTCATTAAGTATCCCACAACTAAACACTGATGTTAATAACATGTATTTGGTCCAGTAAAGAAATATGAAAATTAAGTATATAGAAAATAGGCCCTATAAAAAAAGAATAAATGAATAAGAGTCCTTTTGTACAAAGTTGTGATTTGTTTACATTATGTTGTTGCTTCAGTAATTCACTAGTTTTAGTTCTTTTTTTATAATAAATAAATTTTTTAGTTGTAGATAGACACAATACCTTTATTTTATTTATTTTTATGTGGTGCTGAGGCTTGAACCCATTGCTTCACACATGCCAGACAAGCACTCTACCACTGAGTCACAACCCAAGACCCTTAGTTCCTTCTCTTTAAAAGTGCAGATTGGTGTGGCCAATTTGGAAAGCAGTATGGAGATTCCTGGGAAAGCTGGGAATGGAACCACCATTTGACCCAGCTATTGCCCTTCTCGAACTATTCCCTGAAGACCTTAAAAGAGCGTACTACAGGGATACTGCCACATCGATGTTCATAGCAGCACAATTCACAATAGCTAGACTCTGGAACCAACCCAGAAGCCCTTCAATAGATGAATGGATAAAAAAAAATGTGGCATTTATACACAACGGAGTATTACGCAGCACTAAAAAATGACAAATCATGGAATTTGCAGGGAAATGGATGGCACTAGAGCAGATTATGCTAAGTGAAGCTAGCCAATCCCTAAAACACAAATGCCAAATGTCTTCTTTGATATAATGAGAGCAACTAAGAACAGAGCAGGGAAGAAGAGCAGGAGGAAAAGATTAACATTAAACAGAGACATGAGGTGGGAGGGAAAGGTAGAGAAAAGGGAAATTGCATGGAAATGGAAGGAGACCCTCTTTGTTATACAAAATTACATGTAAGAGGTTATGAGGGGAATGGGAAAAAAACAAGGAGAGAAATGAATTACAGTAGATGGGGTAGAGAGAGAAGTGGGAGGGGAGGGGAGGGGGGGATAGTAGAGGATAGGAAAGGTAGTAGAATACAACAGTTACTAATATGGCATTATGTAAAAATGTGGATGTGTAACCGATGTGATTCTGCAATCTGTATTTGGGGTAAAAATGGGAGTTCATAACCCACTTGAATCTAATGTATGAAATATGATATGTCAAGAGCTTTGTAATGTTTTGAACAACCAATAAAAAAAAACATAAAAAAATAAAATAAAATAAAAAAATAAAAGTGCACAATGGAACTTTTAAAAAATAGGTTAAAACTCGTTTGGTTTAAGGAATTTCAAACCCAAGGATGTACTGGTCACTGAAAATAATGACTGTTATTGTTGATTATACCTTAAGAAAGACAGGTTGCAGAGACCTGTAGTACATACGTTAGGCCCAATTCAAGTCACCACATATACGACATTTATAGCTTTACTCCGCTTTACAACATGTGATCTTCTAGATAGATGCAAAAATATAATTAAGTGGAGATAATTTTACAAAAGAATGTACCAAATAAACTTAAATTTATATAAACTCTAATATATAAAAACTTTTGATTTATATACTGTGGTATTTATCTTTGGGAATGTAATATACAATAGAACAATAACAATAACGTATAAGGAAAACAGATCTGTTTAATAAAGTGGACAAACCTAAAAATGAGCTCAATACCAATATATTTTAGAGGCAAGGAGTAACCTGGGGTAATATTCAGAAGGAATTACTGATGAGAATAATATTATGAAACATGCTAAAACACTAAGGGGCTTTTTGCAGTCATTTTCTCTAAATAAATTAATGTCAAGTGTTTTTGTTCTAAATAGACTTCTGATCAGAATCAGATATTTAGCCAGGTGCGATGGCACACACCTATAATCCCAGCAGCTTGGGAGTGTGAGGCAGGAGGATCACGAGTTCAAAGGCAGCCTTAGCAACAATGAGGCACTGGGCAACTAAGTGAGACCCTGTCTCTAAATAAAATACAAAAAAAGGACTGGGGATAGGTTCAGTGATTGAGTGCTCCTGAGTTCAATTCCTGGAAACCCCCCGCAAAAAAAAAAAAAAAAAAAAAATCAGATATTTATACTTATAAACCCAAATGAAAGTAATGGTGGTCTCAGCAGACTGCATTTCTGGTAGGAAGAAATTTTGGAAGGGTATTCATTTAATTGCTAGCAAATAGTTAGCATTTCATTGAGACCACTGGCATCTGTAACAATGAAAAACATACTTTATTGCAAATAAGGATTAAGGCAGCTTCCCTAGGAGTCTCTGAGAGGCCATTCAGGAATACTGACTCATGCAATTATCTTTTGTATCTAGCAGAAAAATATATCATACTCATACTGTTTATAAATAATTGCCAATCTGGCTTAACCAACAATCTTTGGTAATAGAGTCTCTTGTTAAATATAGACAGGAATTCCCTTTCCATCCAGCAAGTATTCTAGCTCCATTCTTAAAAGCAGACATTATAGATCTGGCTGGGACAATAAGAGAGAGTAAAAGGAGAATATGAATGCGCCTGAAAACTCATAATTAAATTTCACTCTGAGTGAGCTCCTTAATTCTGTTCATGCAATGATCAACAGCATTAATGAGTAAAGGGATCCAACTATCTTCTGGCTGAGGGGTCACATGACTTGCTCTGTAGAATAAAATGGGGGAAAAAAGGTTACTATGAGGTCAGGGGAAAATCTATCCTCAGGAGAGTGCACAGAAGAAACTACAGTAAAAGGCAAGTTTCTTCACAGAAACCAAAACTAAAAGAAAACCCCAATCCTTCCCTTTCCTATTTCTTGAAGTGGGAACTTGGGAGTTGAGAAAGTCAGACAGACACTCAGCTTTATTCTCAAAAGGCTAGCTAGGGAGAAGTCTTCATACTTACTTTGTAATTTCGAGTGCCTTCCTTAAAACAGATACAAGTTTTGCAGACTAGAAAAGAAACAGAGAAGTTAATCACCCTGAGCCCTGCCATCAAAAAGGTAAAGGAGAGCTTGAATTTTTAATAGATCCCCAAAATTTAAAAAAAAAAAAAAAAAAAAAAAAAACAACGTTAAAACAAGAACGCATTTAAAAAGAACCTTGAATATACTCAAAACAAAAATGCTGACTAGGTTGAGGTGGCAGGATTATAAATTCTTTTCTATTTAGCAAAATATTACTAATATTGTTGCTATAACATTTTTCTAAGTTTTTAAAACTTAAAATATTTCTAATTTTTAAAAAAGAAGAGAAAAGAATGTATTCTGAATTTATCCTATCTGCTAAGAGCTCAAAATATAAAGCAGAAATAACTAATGTTCTTTACTTTAAAAATGTACAGAATTTTAACAACACCAATTTCAAGTTAACATGGGGAGGTGGGGGACACAGCTCCATGGTAGAATATGTGCTTACCATGCATAAGGACCTTGGTTCAATTCTCAGCACCAAAAAAAACACCCAGAAATGAGGATGTGTATATATCCCAACAATATAAAGTAAGACATATAAAGATTACACATTTTTAATTGCTTTAGTAATTATTATTTGGGATAATTGAATATTTTTAATAGGCATACTGCTAAAGATGTTTAATTCTTAGGAAGTTAACTTTTAAACTTAATGCCAAAACAACAAACAAAAAATTTAATGCCCTAAGGATACTATTCTTCTTCAAGGTGTTTGTACACTATGAACACACATTTTGATGAATCTAATTTCCACTATCAAATTTATCAAATATTAGAAGGGGTACATCTGACTATAAAACATATGTCATTTGGGGGGCTGGGATTGTGGCTCAGTGGCAGAGTGCTTGCCTCACATGTATGAGGTACTAGGTTCAATCCTCAGCACCACATAAAAATAAATAAATAAAATTAAAAAAAAAACACCTCAGCAAATATTTATAATGCACAAACACATGCAAGAACTGTGACATTACTGTTGTGACAGTACTTTTGCACCCAAGTGAGACAAATAAATAAGTACCCTATACTTTACAGAAAATACTAGTGACTAGTGAAATTCTACAAATAGGTCTATAACTCCTCCCAAAAAGTCAATACTCACATTGATTCGCACAGTCAGGTGGCACATAGGTGGATATATGCTCAGAGCCAAATCATCCACGCTAGGAGCAGAAAGAAAAATAACCATTATTATATTCAACAACAAAAACAAAGGAACTAAGCTAGCTAGGTTGTTTCTAGTATACAACTATGGATGTAACTAGGGAGAAATTGGCTGTCCCAGAAGTGCTTGTCAGTTCCTTAAATTGGGCAACCAGGCAACCAATGAAAAATCAATTTAACCAGTATTTGCTGAAACATACATACCCTATTTCACTAGGAAACTGGGGTGGGAGGGAATGCCCTTGGTTCGTTCATAGGGCAGGACATGATTAATTTAGTAAAAAAATGTGAGGATCTGAAATTATCAATTTAGTAACTGATACAGGCTCATCAATGGAAGCTAAAATTGTTACATAAAAGTCACCCTTACTAAAGAAGACACCACTTAAAACACGATCAAATTTGGGATTATCAATAATGGAACAAACCGATATCATATGACTTCCCCAATATGACAGGAGGCACAAAACATAACAGCTATATGATAGTCTTGCAAAAAAAAAATGTTTAACCTGACTATAATCCCTAGAAAATTATCCTATGAATACAAATTGTTAAGGCATTCTATAGGACAACTGATGGGTTTTGTTTTGAAATGTCAATGTCAAAAAGAGACTGTATTAAACTGCAAGAAACTAATTTGAGACCTTGATAGAAACCTGGATTTTATAAAAAATATTTTAGAGCCAAAGGGAAAAGTACGACTGTTGGATAATATTATATTCAACATTAAATTCTTTAGATATGATGATAAGACTATCTTTGTTCTTAGGAGATAGATGCTAGGTATTTAGGGGTGAAATGTCATTGATGAATACAACTAACTCTTTAATGGTTTAGGAAAAACCATTATGGAACATCTATTTATCAAGACATAAACCAATACAGGAAGAAAAATGTGAACAACAGGTGAATTCATATGTAGGATGTAGAGTTATTTACTGAAGTACTTTTTCAACTTTCCTGTAGGTTTAAACATCTTCAAAATACAAAAATCTAGGCAAAAACTTTGGGATGACAGCACAAGCATAAGCTAAGATCAGAAGTCTCCTGCAGTTTCAAGTGGAGAACATGTTTACCTAGGGCTGATCTCATCAGAAATATCCACAATGTCATCCAGCTGAGCCACCTGATCCTTCTTCCCATTCTCTGCCACTAAGATCCGTATTTTCTTCAGGCAAGCTTTGGATGATCTCACCAGTGCAAGACATGGGATTATGAGCTCTTGATCTTCCTCAGACCAATATAAGTCTCGATTGCTTGGAAACCCCAACACATCTTCATTGCTGTGGTTGTCCTCCTCAGAATCATTCAAGAGACCACAGTAAGGGTCACATTCTTCCACAGCCTAAAACATACCATGATAAATGTGAATGCAAACAAAAACAAAAACACCTATTTTACTCTTAGCACCATAACTGAATTGTTTAGAAACCCCAGCCAGGCTAAGCACAATATTGCTCCTTATAATCCCAGGGACTTGGAAGGACGAGGTAGCAGAAGTTCAAGTCCAAGGCCAGTATGAACAACTTAGTGAGACCCTGTCTCAAAATAAAATATAAAAAGGACTGGGGATGCAGCTCAGTGTTAAAGCATGTACAGGTTTAACTCCTAGTACAAAAAAACAAACAAACAAACAAACAAAAAACACCCAGGCTGGCTGTTTCACTAACTAACAGCTAACAGCTACACAGTTAAATCATTTCATGAACCCTGTTCTTACTCTCCTTGTCCAGCAAAGGAACAAAGAGAAGTGGTACAAATTACACAGCAGAATGGAGTGGGAATGGAAGACACAGGACAGAAGTAAGAATGGAACCAGCTAAGTCAATGCTCAAGATATCCCCCCCCTTTTTTTTTTTTTTTTGTAGTTGTAGATGGACAAAATGCCTTTATTTTATTTTATTTGTTTATTTTTATGTGGTGCTGAGGATTGAACCCAGTGCCTAACGTATACTAGGTTACACTCTGCCACTGAGCTTCAGCCCTAGCCCATATCCCCTTTTAATTTTTTTATTAATGACAGCAGAATGTATTACAATTCTTATTACACATATAGAGCAAAATTTTCCATATCTCCAGTTGTATACAAAGTATATTCACACCAATTCATGTCTTCATACGTGTACTTTGGATAATAATGATCATCACATTCCACCATCATTAATAACCCCATGACCCCTCCCTTCCCCTCAAATCCCTCTGCCCTATCTAGAGTTCGTCTATTCCTCCCACGCTCCTGCTCCCTACCCCACTATGAATTAGCCTCCTTATATCAAAGAAAACACAGCATTTGGTTTTTTGGCATTGGCTAACTTCACTTAGTACTATCTTCTCGAATTCCACCCATTTACCTGCAAATGCCATGATTTTATTCTCTTTTATTGCTGAGTTATAGTCCATTTTGTATATATGCCACATTTTTTTAATCCATTTATCTGCTTAAGGGCATCTAGGTTGATTCCACAGTTTAGCTATTGTGAATTGTGGTGCTATAAACATTGATGTGGCTATGTCCCTGTAGTATGCTGTTTTTAAGTCCTTTGGGTATAGACCGAGGAGAGGGATAGCTAGGTCAAATGGTTCCATTCCCAATTTTCCAAGAAATCTCCATACTGCTGTCCATCTTGGCTGCACCAATTTACAGTCCCACCAGCAATGTATGAGTTTACCTTTTCCCCCCACATCCTCGCCAACATTTATTGTTGTTTGTCTTCATAATAGCTGCCATTCTGACAGAGTGGTTTTGATTTGCATATCCCTTTCTTTATAATCTATTTTCTACTGGTCATGGAGTTTGACCTCCAATGACCAGCAAAGGCAGAGGTTCCCTCACCTGCTCTATTTCTTCATGTGCATCCTTCACAAAATCCACACTCTTTGTCAGCATTAATAGGGCTGCAGCTTTATTATCTATGAATGAAAAATTGAAACACTAGAATGAGAGAAGAAATCTTATAATTCTCTTAAGACTACAAAGGGCAACCAACACTGTTTCTTTTGAAGAGAATATCAAAGTAACCTAGGGTCACCATCTAATGTAAAACTCTTTTTTCACTACCTCCCCTGGAACTCAAAGATTAAAAAGCTTTTCTTCATTCACCACAAGAAATAAAATGGGCACATGATATTTCTCATCACAATCCTTTTATTGACCACTGCTTCTGACCTGATAACTGCTTCAGTGTGTCCAATAAAACTGCCGCAGAGGTAATACTAGAAAAAAACCACATCTGTTCAGCAAGAGAGAGAACCGCAAGTAGAGTCTGAATTTAAAAAGGTGTTATAATTCAATCACAGCATGCTTGTCTAGCATATAGAAGGCCCTGAGTTAGATACCCAGTAGAACTAGAGAATGGCAAAAAGTACTAATACTAACTATTAATGCAGATGACAAACTAAATCTATTTCACTAAAGTGTTTATACAAATTAAAATATATAAATACTACAAAGCAGGAAGTTAGACATGGGATGTCTTTCTGTTTTGGCCAGCAGTTACTGGCTCATCTCCCACTCTTACCTACCTTTTGGTATCTGAGGAACTTGCTGGCATGCAACCCAGACATTGTTGTAGGAAATAAGGTTACTGTTTTCAGGGCTGGGGAATGGAATCAATGAAAATATTGTCAATAATCTAGGTTCCTGTCTCGTAAAAAGCTCCCTCCTACTGGTCACTATTCTTGGCTATCAGTAACTTTTCTCTTAGGGTGAGTTTTCCCCTGGGTCAAGGAAGCCTATTAACTGTTAACCCATACTATGGCATCAGTACCTCTGAGGTGGAGTGATAAGAAGCACTTCCACAAGCTGAGCCATGCCATCCACAATGTCCAAAGTGGCACTCCGTACCAGCTTTCTCAGGGTGATCCCTGTGGCCAAAATCGAAGAGTAAGCAGCCTGGTCTCCTTTTCAGAAGTCACTGTCCATTTTCCTGAGTTTAAGCATTAGAGAACTACAAGATAATGGCCATTCACATGCTTTAAAGGAAGTACCAAACACAAAACTCAGATTTTATTTATATCCTCATGTTATTTTCTTATCCCCCCCACCAATACTTAGAGCTGTTCCTCCAAGAGATTTGGAATACAATCTTTCCATCACAACAAGTACTCATTCATTAAGGACAGTAGCCCCTTGACAACTGTGGATAAAATGCTGAAAGTTTAAACAATCCATGAGTAATCCTAAAGATCTATGACATGTATTCATTTATAATTTTGGCATGATTATAATCAAGACATAAATCAGAGGAGTGGCAGGACTAGTGAACATTTAACCTATTAAGAAGCCTAGAAATAGAGTATGCTGTAATATGAATGCAGGAGATGGGACAGCTTTAGTCTAGGTATATGGGGCTGAGATTGAGCCAGCATCTAGCAGTTAGATGGAAAGGAAGATCCAAAAAGAATTAAAAGCCTTAAGATTCAGACAAAGCACAGGAGATGGAAAATCTTAGGTACAAAGCATCTGTACCTTAGTATAATGGAGTGTTTACATAGGTCAATTACATTATAAAATTCTCCTTGAGGTGCATGCTCAAACTGGGGAAAGGCAAAAGTCTCAGGACATACCCATCATTTTAGCAAAGATGTAGCCTACAAATGCAATATTAATGTGTATATAGTATCTTACCCTGTTCCTTGGGAAGTGAATAGTACACCGCAATAATTGCCTTGACGGCAGCACAGACTTGTTCACTGATCCTCTGGGTTTCCTATGATGTGACAAACCAATTTAAAAATAAAGAAAGGAAATGGATTAGATCAATTTGGTCAACTCACCTACTGTAAAAGAGAATAGACATCTGTAAAGCATCATTAAATATTTTCTGAAGTCCTATTATGAGTTAGGCCTTGTGATAAGACTCATTGTATACCACAGAGAAGTTAGTGAAACACCAAACACTTGATGACAACTCAATAAGGCACAAAGAAACAATAAGTAAAACTTGTTCCTGGTTAACTCTATATCCCAAGATATTCATGATGTGCCATGAGATATTCACCATATCATAGACTAGGAGTAGTCAAACTATAGTCCACAGGTAAACCAGACCCATTTACATTTATTATAAATAAAGTATTACTGGGACCCAGCCATGGTCATTAGTGTACATATTGTCTATACCTGCATTCACACAAAAAGGGCAGTACTAACTAGCTAGCCTTCAAAGCCTAAAATATTTACCACTATCTGGCCTTTTACAGAAAAAGTTTGCCAACCCCTGTAGTAGATCATTAACCAAATCTCTATGTATGTGTCTCTTTCAACAGAATCAAAATATGTACCTAAAAGTAAATAACATGGACTGAATAATGCTCAATATTAACTATTTTCCTTCTAAGCAGTCATTGGTTTTCTTATCTTCCTTGTCCTCACTTCTCTGTTAAATTCTAAACCAGTGCTTATATGTAAAATGTGATCCAGGTTGGTGCCAGTCCACAAACTGTTACCTGTTTGGGATGAGATATCCCCAGGGATTGAGAATAAATGCTTAGAAACTTTTTAAAATTTTTTCAATGCTGGGGATCCAACACAGAGCCTTGCATATACTAGGCAAGAACTCCACCTCTGAGCTATATTCTTACTCTGTTCAGAAACTATTATGGCAACACACAAATTTTTATAAAAATATCAGTTCATAAAGATTTTTCGAATCTTAAAAACAAAAACAAACAAACCACCCTGCAGTAGGACTAAAATGCTGACATCCGAAGAAGGCGACTGAATCTTTGTATGTAATTCCAATAAAACTATGTTCTAATTTTTCATCTATGAGTAAAACTACCATCCTGAACATATATAGGAAAATAATCCTATGCTATCTACTCACTGTATTTTTCTTGCTACAAATTTTAGCAGGAAGTTTTTCTTTTCAAAGAAAGAAGCCAGCAAATATTTAAAAATAAGATAATACTTCCTTTGGAAAAAATACACCTTCTATGAATCTTTTAAAGTGCTCTCACATAGTTCACCTCTTGTTTCCTCATCATAGACCTCTAAGGTATCCAAGGAGAAGGTTTATCATTGTAGTCATATGCAGCAAAAGAATATTTATATCATTTCAAAACATCCGGATATAGACTTGGGCTGGGGGATTGTAGCTCAGAGGTAGAGCGGTCGTCTGGCATGTGTGAGGCACTGGGTTCGATCCTCCACCACATAAAGTAAAATAAAGACACTGTGTCCACCTATAACTAAAAAATAATATTTAAAAAAATCTGGATATAGACTTAAAATTTTATTAAAAAATCAAATAAGATAATGAATATGCCATTTTTAAATACCCTTACTCTCAAATTAAGTATGGGCAGTTCTAGAAAAAATGAATATAGGGAATGCTATATCACAGTCAACACCTTTACTTTCAGTTTTATAATGAAGAATTATTAAAACTGTATAATTTCTTTGTTCTAGCAATTTCTTCTTGGGAATTTTTTCTACAAATATGTACACAAAGATTATATTCGGCAATTCACCACAGGACCATTTACAATAGTTACAAGTTGGAAACAGTTTAAATGTCCACATAAGGTATTGACTAAATTATAGTTAAGCCCTCTGTTGAATATTAAGAAGCTATTACAACTTTTTAGGTGATGCTAAGAATCAATTTCTAAGCTATATCATTAATTTTTTAAAAATGAAAAAGTACAGTGTTGATGGTATCTGATCATTTGTGTAAAAAGCATATATATATGTATATATATATACACACACACACACATATATACATGTAAATATGAATATACATATGCATAGAATATACAGTATACAGAATAATACAAAAGGAAGTGAAGAGAGGTGACAAAAATGAGGAACAGGGTAGCTAGGTAGAAACATTTTAGCATACTTTGTTAGCTTTTGAATTTCACACTTTCTACATAAGTTACTGATTACATACAAAATAATTCACTACCAAAGGGTCCTATGTAGTATAATAGAATGGGTATAGCTTAGCATTCAGATAGACCTTATTTACATTCAACTTCGACTTTTACTAACCTTAACCTGAGCCTCTGACCCTGACTACTTATCTGTCAGAGATCATGTATGTGAAAATATCTAGAAAACAGTGTGCACTTTAATTTTTTTTCAGAAAGTAAATAACCAGGCTGAATTTCAAATTGCAAAAATTAGGAGACTGGTCTACCCATGCCAGGCCCTGCATTTAGGCAATTTGGTTTCCACAACAATCCTGTAAAGTAAGAAATGTAATCTCATTTGAGATTACATGAATGAAAAAGGTGGAAAGAAATAGCGAGGATACCTAAGGAATAACAAGTCCGCACAAGGATTCCAGTAAAGTGAAGCTCACCTGTGGAGACGGCAATGGAAGTCGAGAGAAGACTGTAGTCAGAGCGGTGGCTTCCCATGACACTTTAACAGCTGCCTCATCTGGTGGGTGGGAATAAGGGGAGGCAGGTGCTAAAGTTAGTGCCAAAAGGCTAAAGCTGCAGCTGCGACAGGGACTTGGACGATAATGCGTTCTCTCTCCACGCTTATCAGCCTAGACAACTCAAAAACAGCTCCAAAAATCAATATTTTATATTTTAACCACTCAAGTGCCAAGGACTAGCAAGGTGAAGTATCCCCACAGTCGGGATGAGGCAGGGAAGACGCAGAGCCCTCCAATGGGGACTGCCAGCAGGAAAGGGACCTTTTCGCTGGAATAGGTGAGAGAAGGGAGTCACCGACAGGAAAGGCACTCACTGAGTCTTCTCCAGAACACCTCCCGATTAAACTCCTCAGTGGTCTCCCGGGCTTCGCCGACTTGTAGGTGTAGTGTGGTGGGCCGAACCGCGGCAAAAGGAGAAACTGAAGTGAGCGGAGCCACCTCCCGTACCGGGGTCCAGCCCGCAGCGCCCTACCTGGGCTTTTCTCTACCCCAAGGCCGCCCCTGGCCTCGCCAGACCCACAGCGTCAGCTCACCCCGCACTCCAGGCAAGAGCAACCGCAGCTCCGCCGCCAAGTGCCGGAGCTGTTCCAAAGGCGGAGCCAGAGTGAGGACTGAGGCTGCAGACGCAGTTTCGCTCGCCATTTCTTTCGCTCACCGGCACCTGAAAACAGACGCCACCGCCCCAGTTGCCCTAGACGCACTGCGACTGCGCCTCGCTTCCGGTGCCGCCTACCCGAGATCGTTTCTGGCAACAACCCAGCCCTCCCGCTCCGCCCCTTCCTCCCTGAGGCCTGGCCCCGCCCCTTCCATTGGCCGGGTCACGCCTCCCCGCCCCACCCCATTCCAACCAAAAGACTGGGCCACACTGCAAGGTTCAGGTTCGTTGTGTATCTTATTCTTCATTCATTCATTTATTTGATTAGCTGAAACACTCCCGACTAAGGAAGCAGAGAGCCCATAACCCTATGTGTGGCGCTGGATGCTTTTACATGGGGTAACCCCCCAAAATGCTGGGCCTCCTGAGATACTCCCATACACACACCCAGCCCCTACCCTGTGGGTCTCCTTGTTTAGGGCTTTCTCTTTGCCTCCTTAGGAAAGAAAGAAATCAAGTCATTATTTAGACTCGTTTTCAGTCCACTCTCCAGGAATCAGTAGTGAGTGATCCCTCCAACATTCACGTGTCCAAGAAGCAGCAGCTCTCTGAAGCTCATCCACTGACATCTGCTTTCCACCTAGTACGGGCAGAGACCAGGGTTACAGATGCAGAGACTGAACTTCTGCCCAGCTGGCAGTGATGGGACATGCATTTCAGGAGCTCAGGTGGCTTTTTAACTGCAACATGAAGGTTCCAAACTTGGTGGAGTTCAGTGTCCACACACAACGAATGAGTACTGGTGTCAGCAATGTCAACCAGGTCCGCAAAGGGGAGAATAAAAGAGCTAGCGTGCCCTGTGTCACATGAAGAAAGTAGCAGGAATAAATCTGCCAGATATACAGCAGTAGCATAAGTAGGTGAACAGGTATAATTTTCAAGTATTTTCCTTGATGGAGATGAGACTTGAAGTTGTGACCAAAGCACCTCTGCAACAAGCTCCAACAAAGGTAAGCCATCAAGGGAATGTTGAAAAACACCACCTAGAATAAAGAAGCAGAACACAATCGTTAGCTTACCACCAAGCTAACGTTGAAGGAGTCAGGTCTCATTATTGGTGGCTCCTAAGAATATGCTGCTTTCTGACTTGGGGTTAGTTGTCTGATTTATATATATATATATATATATATATATACACACACACACACACACTTTTTGTTTGTTTGTTTGTTTTTGTTTTGCATTTTTTTATTGGTTGTTCAAAACATTACAAAGCTCTTGACATATCATATTTCATACATTAGATTCAAGTGGGTTATGAACTCCCATTTTTACCCCAAATACAGATTGCAGAATCACATCGGTTACACATCCACATTTTTACATAATGCCATATTAGTAACTGTTGTATTCTGCTACCTTTCCTATCCTCTACTATCCCCCCTCCCCTCCCCTCCCATCTTCTCTCTCTACCCCATCTACTGTAATTCATTTCTCTCCTTGTTTATTTTCCCATTCCCCTCACAACCTCTTATTTGTAATTTTGTATAACAAAGAGGGTCTCCTTCCATTTCCATGCAATTTCCCTTTTCTCTACCTTTCCCTCCCACCTCATGTCTCTGTTTAATGTTAATCTTTTCCTCCTGCTCTTCCTCCCTGCTCTGTTCTTAGTTGCTCTCATTATATCAAAGAAGACATTTGGCATTTGTTTTTTAGGGATTGACTAGCTTCACTTAGCATAATCTGCTCTAGTGCCATCCATTTCCCTGCAAATTCCATGATTTTGTCATTTTTTAGTGCTGCATAATACTCCATGGTGTATAAATGCCACATTTTTTTTTTATCCATTCATCTATTGAAGGGCATCTGGGTTGGTTCCACAGTCTAGCTATTGTGAATTGTGCTGCTATGAACATCGATGTGGCAGTATCCCTGTAGTACGCTCTTTTAAGGTCTTCAGGGAATAGTCTGAGAAGGGCAATAGCTGGGTCAAATGGTGGTTCCATTCCCAGCTTTCCCAGGACTCTCCATATTGCTTTCCAAATTGGCCGCACCAATTTGCAGTCCCACCAGCAATGTACAAGAGTACCCTTTTCCCCACATCCTCGCCAGCACTTGTTGCTGTTTGACTTCATAATGGCTGCCAATCTTACTGGAGTGAGATGGTATCTTAGGGTGGTTTTGATTTGCATTTCTCTGACTGCTAGAGATGGTGAGCATTTTTTCATGTACTTGTTGATTGATTGTATGTCCTCCTCTGAGAAGTGTCTGTTCAGGTCCTTGGCCCATTTGTTGATTGGGTTATTTGTTATCTTATTATCTAATTTTTTGAGTTCTTTGTATACTCTGGATATTAGGGCTCTATCTGATGTGTGAGGAGTAAAAATTTGTTCCCATGATGTAGGCTCCCTATTTACCTCTCTCATTGTTTCTCTTGCTGAGAAAAAACTTTTTAGTTTGAGTAAGTCCCATTTGTTGATTCTTGTTTTTAACTCTTGTGCTATGGGTGTCCTATTAAGGAATTTGGAGCCCGACCCCACAATATGTAGATCACTCCATTCACAATATCCTCAAAAATAAAATAAAATACTTGGGAATCAACCTAACAAAAGAGGTGAAAGATTTATACAATGAAAACTACAGAACCCTAAAGAGAGAAGTAGAAGAAGATCTTAGAAGATGGAAAAATATACCCTGTTCATGGAGAGGCAGAACTAACATCATCAAAATGGCAATATTACCAAAAGTTCTCTATAGGTTTAATGCAATGCCAATCAAAATCCCAACGGCATTTCTTGTAGAAATAGATAAAGCAATCATGAAATTCATATGGAAAAATAAAAGACCCAGAATAGCAAAAGCAATTCTAAGCAGGAAGTGTGAATCAGGCGGTATAGCGATACCAGACCTCAAACTATACTACAGAGCAATAGTAAAAAAAACAGCATGGTACTGGTACCAAAACAGGCAGGTGGACCAATGGTACAGAATAAAGGACACAGAGACTAATCCACAAAGTTACAACTATCTTATATTTGATAAAGGGACTAAAAGCATGCAATGGAGGAAGGATAGCATCTTCAACAAATGGTGTTGGGAAAACTGGAAATCCATATGCAACAAAATGAAACTGAATCCCCTCCTCTTGCCATGCACAAAAGTTAACTCAAAATGGATCAAGGAGTTTGATATATATATATACTTTGATCACACTTATTTGTAACACATTCAACCTACAGTTAGTTGTGTCCTTTTGTTCATCTTAAAGACAGGAATCATTTAACTTATATTGAAGCTCCAATTTATAGTACAGTATCATATATATATATATATATATATATATAGATAGATAGATAGATAGATAGTAAATATCGGCCAGTGTTTAAATTAAAATTAAGTACACACACATGCGAGTGTGCATGTGCGTGCGTGCGCGCGCACACCAACACACACACACCCAGAATATACATTCTGTTTTGGTGGAATGGAGGGACTTGTATCATCAGTATATTTTTTCTTATCTTAATATTTTTGTTTGAGGTAGAATGATGAGTACTAAAGTATAAATTGGAATATCTATGTTATAATATAGTTTGAAGGATGTGTGATTCATTTATTCATTCAACAATATTTATTGTAGCAGTCACTGTCCTAGGATCTAGGTTAGGGATACTCTAGGTTAGGGACACACTAGTGAACAAGTCAAAAAAGATCCATCATAGAGCTATACAGTCTAACAGGAAAAAGAAAAAATTAAAAAAGGAATTACAAATTGTGATAAATTCAATTAAGAAATAACTGGATCACAAAAGAGTAAATAAAAGAGAGGCTCTGTGTAGCCTGAAGGACAGGAATGAGTCAGTTAATGTAAATGCATTCCAGGAAGAAGGAACAAATGAAAAGTCCAGAGGTGGGAGAGGTCTTGGGCTCTGTAAGACAACAGTAGCCAAGGATGATGAACAAGGTGGAAAGTAGGAGTGGAGCCACAAGTGTGAGGTCAGAGACATAATATTGAGATGCCTGTTATGCATCAAAGGAAATATATAAAATGGCAGTTGAGTATATAGACACTTGAAGTACAGAGAAGATATCTATGTCAGAGGTATACATTTGGAAGTCAGGAGCCTGGATAATACATAAAGTCCATTATTAACTTATAATTGCTCAAAATATGAATGTACACATTTTCATAGAAAAAAAACCCCATGCCTTTTGGTAAGACATAAGTTTCACTTGGTGTAAGAGTGCTCCTGAGAGACAGCCTGCATGTATATAACAGAAAACTGAACTTAAGCCAGAGATGTAGTTCAACAGCAGAGTGCCTGTCTAGTATGCCTGAAACCCTGGGTTCAATCCCCAGCACCAAAGTGTGGAGGGAAAGAAAGAGAATAAGACCCAGGATCTATTTACATGCTGCTATGCAGAGAATGTTGTGGACTGGGGTAAGTATTTGCTAGGTAAAAGTTTTCCCTAATTGGCTGTCTCTAATCCTGCTAATCTTGTTATACTGTTGTTAAGAGGTTTTTGAACTCATTTTGATTAATATTTTTTTATGTTTTCCAAAACTTCAAATTACACTGAGATTTTGGTCCAGCAGCCCCATTAGGTGAATAAAACAAAGCAATTGTTAGGTAAATACTTGTCAGAAAGTTTTTTTAATGGAATTTTGCTATGGAACAGGATCTCTTAATTATATATTTGTTTTAGAGGAATCAAATGTAAACTTAATATGTCGGTGTTTCCCGAATAATACTGCTAAGACATCATTACAAAGGCCAGGTCTGAATTTTGTCCAGTGAAGCTTCTACTAAATAACTGATTTCCTTTTCATGTGTTTATATTTTTCCTTTCCTTCTTCTGAAATATTTTCCTTCCTTCTTTATCATAATCAGTTTTGGTTTAACTTAAAGTGTAAAACTTATTCTATCATAAAGCCCTTACTTCATTTTCTGTCAATGAAAAAGCACAATGAAACAAACAACAAAAACCTCTTTTACCTCTGATCAACCCTGAATGCCAAAATGTATTTTTGAAGTTTACACAAGAGTGGTGGAAGAAAAGGGTTAGGAAGCAAACAAAACATCAGTTATTAAAGATTGCCCTACAAATAAAGTAAGAAAGATGATCTATAATGTTCAATTTAAGACTTGAGATTTTTAAAAAAGATTTTGGATTTAACTGTTATGCTATTGTTTCAACAAGGCCAAGATGTTCTTAAATTGTATATCTAATTTCTTACCTGGAAAATTCCAGCTACAAATGTTGCACCACCTTGTAGGAAATGTCCATTAACAAATATCCCAAAGGAAAAGCAGAAACCCAATTTGCCATCAATAATTTCGCCAAAAAACCATGGTCCTGAGAGAGGCAAAGTGTAGAAAAGAAGATTAAATAGCTACCACCCTGATTACATACATCTGAGATTCATTTATAGTAATAATGAAGATACAAGAATAGTAACCTATGAGCATTTTATTTCATAGTGTTTCTCCTTTGCTAATTTCTGTTGCATATGGTATCTTAACCAACTATTTGCCCCCTGTTTCTCTGGATCAAAAATTATCTGCATATATGCTATACTTGGAATAGATCAATAGCTTGTAGATAGCAAAAACAGGCTGCATCACACTCACAATTTAAAAAATATTCTCTTGCACTAATAAACTCAATATAATGTATTAACATTTCCTTTAAGAAGCAGAGGTATTCTACTGAAGCTAATTTTTGAGATACCTGAGATTTACTCCTTAAAGCAATAAAACCTCAACCACTTGTTTTAAAAAATATTTTTTTAGTTGTCAGTCAATCTTTATTTTATTTATTTATTTATTTATTTGCAGTGCTGAGAGTCAAACCCAGTGCCTCACACATGCTAGGCATGTGCTCTACCACTGAGCTACAACTCCGGCTCCCTAAACCACTTTTCAATGGAAATTTTTCTAAAATGCTCTCTTGTACTTCTCTTTCTTACTAATATAGTGAATATATTTTAGCCTTTTCTATTGACCTATGGCCATTAATTCATTCGTTCATATGTTCACTACATAATGACAATTCTTTAACAAGACTCCTAAAGCACAATAAATAAAACAAAAAAAAAATCAGTAAGTGGTATGGCATCAATTAAAGCTTGTGTGCAGCAAAGGAAACAATTAAGAACATGAAAAGAGAGCCTACAGAATGGGAGAAAATCTTTGCCACCTGCTCCCCAAGGCATTAATATCCAGAATATATAAAGAACTCAAAAAACTTGACACCAAAAATCCAATTAGGGCTGGGGTTGTAGCTCAGTAATAGAGCACTTGCCTCATATGTGTGAGGCCCTGGGTTCGATCCTCCACACCACATAAAAAAAAATAAAATAAAAATAAAGGTATTGTGTCCATTACAACTAAAAAAAAAAAACCCCAATTAATAAATAGGAAAAATAACTAAACAGACACTTCTCAAAAGAAGAAATACAATTGGCCAACAAATAAGTGAAAAAATGTTCAACAACTCTAGCAATCAGGGAAATGCAAATCAAAACTATATTGCCATTTCATCTAGCTCCAGTCAGCATGGCAATTATCAAGAATACAATAACAGGTCAGGTGCAGTGGCCCATGCCTATAATCTCAGTGGCTCAGAATTACAAGTTCAAAACTAGCCTTAGCAATTTATCAAGACCTTGAGCAACTTAGCAAGAACCTGTCTCAAAAATTAAAAAATAAAATATAAAAATAAAAAGGACCAGGGATTTGGCTTAGGGTACAGTGCCTTTGTTCAATCCCTGGTACAAAAAACAAACAAAATACACATGGAATATTACTCAGCATTAAAAGAGAATAGAATCATGGCTTTGTAAGTAAATGGATGGAGCTGGAGAATATAAAGCTAAGTGAAGTAAGCCAATCCCCCCCAAAAAATGCTGAGTGTTTTTTCTGATATAAGGATGCTGATTCATAATGGGGATGGGGAATGCAACATGGGAGGATTAGATGAACTTTAGATAGAGCAAAGGGGAGGAAGGGGAAGGAAGCGGGCATGGGGGTAGGAAAGAAGTGGAATGAGACGGACATCATTATCCTAAGTACATGTATGAAAACATGAATGGTGTGACTCTACTTTGTATACAACCAGAGACATGAAAAACTGTGTTCTATTTGTGTATTATGAATTGAATTGTATTCTGCTGTCATATACAACAAATTAGAATAAATAAAAGAAAATAAAAAAATCTCAATATATTCTTTGACAGAATGCTCTACAATTTGAAGTTTATTAATTTACTTACCAAGCACTACATACAGGGTCATCAACAACATAGAATAGTAGAAGATGTTTATTTTGCTCAAGAGGTGAAGGGAAAATGATATCAAATTTATAAATCTTGGAGGTTCTAAACAGAACAAATTTTTTAAAATTCAGTGACCACATGTAAACTTTAATTTCTTTTTTTTTATAATGTAATTTTTATTTTCCAACAGATCAACTGCCTAAGATAGCACAGGTCTAATGACCAACCAATACCTTCTTTTCCTTTTACTTATCCATTATCCCTAGTGACTAATATCATATCTGACACAGTGGTATATCAATAATTTTTTTGTTAAATGAATCTACAAACAAATGAAAGTACAAGTGAGTTTAGAAGTGGTTAGGTATTTTGTAAAATTTAATTTCTTTACAACATTTTCTAGAAGACTATTATGGGCTATCTGCTTTATATGGGGCAAATCCTTCATTACATGCAACTATACAGATGATACCACTTTAAATTTAGAATCCTGGTGAGCTAATATACTTAAAATTATATAGGGTAGCCAGGCGTGGTGGCATACACCTGTAATCCCAGCAGCTTGGGAGGCTGAGACAAGAGGATCACAAGTTCAAAGTCAGCCTCAGCAAAAGCGAGGTATTAAGCAACTCAGTGAGACCCAGTCTCTAAATAAAATACCAAATAGGGCTGGGGATGTGGCTCAGTGGTTGAGTGCCCCTGAGTTCAATCTCTGGTACCCACCCAAAAAAAGAATTATATAGGGTAGAAAGTTTAAAAAAATGGTTTAGTTGTGAGACTATATATACATTGTACTATATGTACTATAATATATTGAACTCATACATATACATATATATATACATATATATATGTATGTGTGTGTGTGTATATATATTTTATATATATATATATTTAGTTTTCGGTGGACACAACATCTTTCTTTGTATGTGGTGCTGAGGATGGAACCCAGGCTGCACGCATGCCAGGCCAGCATGCTACCGCTTGAGCCACATCCCCAGCCCTCATAAATATTTTTGACTGAAAATAGACATACCTGCCAGAGGTCTGTACTATTTTATTATTTATTTATTTATTTAAATAAACCTTTATTTTATTTATTTACTTTTATGTGGTCCTGAGGATCAAATTCAGTGCCTTGTGCATGCAAAGCAAGCACTCTACCAACTGAGCTATATCCCCAGCCCTGTACTATTTTATTTTCATGTAGATTTGAAAGATAGTGCTATGTTCAAAGGATCATTAAGTCTCCGTTTTCCATAGAATTTAGTACCAAAATTACAAACTTCCAAGAGATGTATTAAAATATATCAAAAGTACATAAAAGAAATAGCAAAATTTCTCATTTTGATCTTAAATATGAGTATCTGTCCCAGTAGTCCTTTCTTGTATGTGATACCGTTCTTAACAAACAGTTCTGTCATTCTAATTGAGAGGCACCCCTAAAGCTCTCCCAATTGATATGCTCTTAAATATGGTGCCAAAAGGCTCAAATATAAGTGCTTCACCCAAAGAAGCTCCATCTGTGGCCACAGATTATCATTTTACTTATCATGGAGCTGGTCATAAACCAGTTATCAGAAAATTATGATAAAAAGTTCAGGCACACTGAGTGACACACTAGACAAAAAAAAAATTAAAAAACAGGTCCTGATGAAAGACAGCCTAATGTAAGTTAAATAAGTTATGAAGCCAGGTGCAGTGATGCACGCCTATAATCCCAGCAGCTTTGGGGGCTGAGACAAGAAGATCACGAGTTCAAAGCCGGTCTCGGCAAAAGCAAGGTGCTAAGCAACTCAGTGAGAACCAGTCTCTAAAAAAAATACAAAATAGGGCTGGGGATGTTGCTCAGTGGTCAAGTGCCTCTGAGTTCAATCCCTAGTACCACCCACCAAAAAAAGTTATGATTTTGCTAATAGGTCAGCATACTCATTTAATACTTATAACATTATTCAGCCTGCTGACAATTAATTTTATACAAAGCCTAATAAAACCTTTCTCATTGTGTGTATTACTCTCACTTGTTTTTGTTTTTAGTCTTGTACTTTCAAAGTATTTATCTGGTTGAGGAGAAAATATATCATTTTAAGTGATTATGTAAAGTAAGATGCTTGGCTAATTAAGTATAGAATTGGGGATGGGGATATAGATTAGTGATAGAGTGCCTGTTTAGTATTCCTGAGGCCTTGTGTTCAATTTCCAGCGCTGAAAAAAAATTAGTAAAGAATTAATCATCAGGAAGCACTATAGGACTCAGACAAGCAAGAACTCACTATGAATTGGAATGGTTAGAGAAAGGGGTACAAGAAAAGACTATTTCAAGTAAGCCATACAGGAAACTAATATTTAAATAAGTTTAGAAGAATAATTTAAAGTAGGCATAATAGCCTGGGCAAAAACACAAATGCATAAGTGAGCATAGTTTGTATAGGGAACATTGAAAATTATCTGGGCTGGGAATTCCAGCAATTGGTTGAAGACATGGCTAGTCAAGTAAGACTAGGTTGTAGAGAGGTGTCTGATTTTTAATTATGGTATTTCATTCATAGGATCACTTCCATGACCAAAAAGCCTTACATATAAAATTCTGAGAAGGATAATTGCCTAATGATGAAGACAGACAATGGATTAGATGGACAGACTGGATATAGAAGCAACAGTTAGAAGTCTGTTTGGGAATCCTGAAAGGAGGTAGTATTGAAATAACATTGGCAACCCTTCAAAGGAAAAGAAACATTTGAAGAAAGAATCAATGGGTTTTAATAATATGCTGGCATTAGGGAATGAAGAATGAAGATTACTGAAAAATAAAATAAGGAATAATGATGCCATGAGAGACATAGGAAAATCAAACTAGGGATGAGGAGAGCAGGTGTGAGGTATTTCAGGAGTTTCTTTGTAGAAATATGTAGAGCCACTTAGGGATTCAGTAAGTTAAATCAGGCACAGACAATAAAATGTGGGAAGCATCCATAAAACCTTGATGACTGAAGTGCTATGGAGCTTATGCAAAGAAAAATCTTGGAGGAAAGGAAGAAAGAGGATCAGAGGTGAAAAAAACAATAGGTCAGAACACTGATATATACCAAAAGGAGAGTTGTTTTTTAAGAAAAAAAAAAAGAGTAGCAAAAAAATGTCCAGTTCTCAAGCAAGAGCAAGAAAATTGACTCAGCTATTAAGATGGCAAATAGTAAATTTGAGAGCTGAATGTTATACTTTCTTTTTTTTTTCCCACATGTGGACTATAAAGATCTTTATCTATATATATCATTCAAATTAATATTATTTCCTTCCTTCCTTCCTCCTACTTCTTTTCTTCCAGTGCTCACAGGGATCAAACAGAGCCTGTGCATACTAGGCAAGCATTCTACCACTAAGCTATATTCCTAACCCTGAAATGAATATCTTTTTAAATTCAGTCATTTTGGTTCAACATCTAGAGAAAGGTTTTTAAAAAGCAGAAAACCCTTTTAATAGCTTGACATGGGCTGACTTGTATTCCTCAAAAGTCATGTTGAAGTCCTAACTCCTAGTGTCTTAGAATGTCACTGTATTTGAAGATAGGGCCTTTAAAGAGGTAAAAATGAGGTCATATGGGTGGGCTTAATCCAATGTGACTGGTATCCTTATAAAAAGGAGATCAGGATACAAACAACACAGATCCAGGGATGACTATGTGAGGACACAGTGAGAAGGTGGTTATCTATAAGCCAAGGAGTGAGGCCTTAGGAAAAAACAAAACAAACAACAACAACAACAAAAACCTGAACTTGAACTTCAAGGCTCCAGAATTGTGAGAAAACAAATTTTTATTGTTTGAGCCAACCAGCCTGTGATATTTTGTTATGTCAGACCTAGCACACTAATATAAGCTTTATTTTAAAACTTTGTCATAAACCTTTTTTTAAAAAATATTTTTATTAGTTGTTGATGGACCTTTATTTTATTTATTTATATGTGGTGCTGAAAATTGAACCCAGTGCCTCACGCATGCTAGGCAAGTTCTCTACCACTGATCCACAACCCAGCCCTGTCATAAACCTTTTTAAATGTACTTTGAAACTAGACTTTTTGCATCTTAAAAGGCTCATATTACTTTTAAGCTAGACAGCTAATTATATGGAATTAAGTATTGTAGTTATTAAGGGAAGCAGCCAGAGAAAACTATTAGTAAGTAATTTTAATGTTACTTTAAAATTAGTAATATAAGCTTAACCCTCAAAAGATTAGAAGCTAACAGAAAACCCTTATCAATACCTATAAAAAGGCTATGACTACTTCTATTTCTCTGTTTTTGATTTTAGACTATAAAGTAGTAGTTTTTAAACCTGTCTGCTTTTCAGAATAACCTGGAAAGTACTTCAAAATAGAGATGCCCAGATCCCTCCTGCTACTAACCCCCCCATTAGAGTTCTCCTCCAAAGTTGCTAAGATATATTAACCCCATACCCTCACGTTTTCCCCTTAACATAACGTCCTATGCCCTATCCCCAGTTCTCTATATGCCACTAGAAACTGTACACCTTTTATGAAACTACTGACTATATTTTCAATAATAATTGAATCCAACATTTCTTCCAACATTTCTAGTCATAGAAATGTATTAAAAAAAAACTTGCTCATAGATGATGTATTGTTGATATTGGGAACTGTTAATATTGTCCTTCCCCACAAAGGAGAGAGATCTCGGAACTATACAAGAGCACTACAAATCTATAGGGTAAAAACAATAACACACCAGACTCACAGATCTGGAAAGAAACACAAGCAACATGAAAAGACAAGGAAAGAAAGTACCACAAACAATGCAAGACAATACATCACTAGAAGAATTACAGCAGAAAAAAATGACAGATAAAGATTTCAGGATATACATGATTCAGATGTTTTGGAGTCTTAAGGAAGACATCATACAACAAATACAGACAATGAAAGATCACTTTGACAATGAATTACATAAACAAATCCAAGAAGCAAAAGATCACCTACAGGGAGATAGAAGTTATTAAAAAAAAAAAAACAGAAATCCTAGAAATGAAAGAAATAATAAACCAAATTAAAAACTCAAATGAGAGTATCACCAGCAGAGTAGACCAGTTAGA